TTTTCTAAGAATGTCCTTATTAAAGACAACCTTTCAATTAGCAAGGATAAAAAACATTCTCGACTATAGGAGCAGGCTGGTTTTTATGAAGCTTTTATTCAGTCTAGGTTGGATTATGCTTCTGTAGTGTGGAGCGGCAGCTTTATAACTAAGCAGCGTCCTCTTCTTTCTTTACAATAAACCGGGAGTGATCTCCCCTAAACTTTCTCGAATATTCTTATATAAAATAACAGGGGATGGGAACTCGGGCTATAGTCATGATTTTTAATCCATTTTAAATACTTAAAGTTTTAAAAATAGAATAAAATCTCGTAAACAAATAAAAAAGCGCATAATAGTGCGCAATATTATTAGTACTTTTAAAATTTACATTAGTTTTTTGAGAAATCGGAAGTAGCGTAAAGTACTACTTCCAGTCAACGGAAATTACTCAAAATTTAACAGAAGGTAGAGAATTAGATCTTTTACTTACATGTGAAATTTCATTTATCTATCTGAAATAGTACTCAATTTATAGGCTTTTGAAAAATTCAAAGTAGGAAAAGTACCACTTCCGGTTATCGGAAATCGCTCAAAAGTTGATACGGATCTACGATTTTGATAAAATACTTATATATGAAATTTCATCCACCTAGCTGTAACGGTACTCAAGTTATCGTGTTTACACACGGACAGACACACAGACACACACACACACACACACACACAGACATACGGACAAGATTGCAAAATTATGTTTTTCCGTATCAGTGAGGTGTAAAACGTCGAGATTTGTAAAAATCTCGATTTTTTTTTGCACGATTACAATACTTTCTCTATACTTCGTATATACGAGAAAGTAAAAAAGGGCTATAAAACTGGTTACTGGCTTGTCTAGTAGTCTGGATTCTTTTCTTACAACTAAAATACTTCCATTAAATAAAAAGATAATATATACTAAATCAATTTTCTTATATAAAATATTCCACGAAACAGCCCCCTCTTACTTATCAGATCTATTTTCTTTTAACATAAAATTAAATCGTCGTCTTAATTTACCATTCCCATATTCAACTTTTTTTCCAAAAACATAGCTTCGCCTACTCTGGTTCTAATTTGTGGAACAATCTTCCTAATAAAAGAAAGCTATCTAGATCTGAAAATATATTCAAATCTAAACTAAAACTAAAATTATTTAATGACCCAACTGACTCATTGTAACATTTCTCATTCATCTATTATATTCTCTTTTTTATCTCATTATGTATGATAACTATGTAACATTGTTTCTTTATTCCACATTTTTAGTGCTATGTTACTGCTATGTGTTATTGAATTGTTTTATTTGTTTAAACGGCCAATGTGAAAAAAGGCCTTTGTGCCTACAATTGTAACCGTTGTTTGAATAAATTTGAATAAATTTGAAACTTTTAAATAAATTTGAAACTTACTTGATTGCAATCGTACGCGCATAGATCATAAGAATTCGTTACGTTTGAAACAAAACTACAAAAGGAAATCGTGAAAAAAAATCTGAAATATTTGAGTTGATTGAATTACTCGCCCTGCGTGGGCAAGCCTAAAGATTTGGATGACTAAAGATTTTCAGACAACTTCCTGAGGTTTAATTTCTGTAGCCTTCAGTTTGTTCAAATGATGACATTCATTTTAACAGCAGATCTTCTGTGTTTTTGTGCTTCTAATTATAGATTGGATCCAGAAAAATGTAATTTTTGTTCAACAATGGAATGTTTATTTATCAATAATTGACTTGTTACCTGTGGTATTCGGCTGCAACATATCGTTAGAACATGTCACAAGAACATGTCCCTAGAACATATCAATAGAACAAATCACATGAGCACCAGCTAGAAGGTTTATCTGGCGCCTGCTATAGAACAGTTCAAACTCCCTCGAGTCCTCACTATTTCAACTGCTGTTTACGGTTAGTGGTGGGTACTTTAAAAAGCTGAACGTACCTGTTGGCATTGGGTTAAAAGGGGCCTCAGTTAGGAGGACGGGGTGCTCCTAAGGGGGCGACTCTCAACTCATTGTAGAAGGTGTGGTGCCAGATTTTCTCCATGTCGTCCCAGTTTGTGACGATGCCGTGGTCTATGTGGTACTTCAGGGTCAGGATATTATTTCTATCATCAGAGGATTTTGTTGATAACAAGAGAAACTCTATATAAAAATACTTCATTGAAATTGTACAATATTGGAATTTATTTCTATCAACAGATGGTTCTGTTCCTATAATCATTCTTGGTCCCGAATATTCTCCAAGGACGTGACGCAATGGATCGAATCTGTTTCGTTTTGGGTGTTATTTAATTGGCTACATGTTTATTCTGATTAGTTGTAGTTGGCAGCTAGGAGATTGTGTTGGCTGAAGTTGTTAGGTTGGAGATTGCTGAAGTTGTTAGGTAGGAGATTGTGTTGAATGTGGTTGATAGGTAGGTGATTGTGTTGACTGAATTTGGTAGGTGGGTGATTGTGTTGGCTGTGGTAGGTAGGTAGGTGATTGTGTTGGCTGAAGTTGGTAGGTAGGTAGGTGATTGTGTTGGCTGTGGTTGGTAGGTAGGGGATTGTGTTGACTGAGTTTAGTAGGTAGGTAGGTGATTGTGTTGGCTGTGGTTGGTAGATAGGTAATTGTGTTGGCTTAAGTTGGTTGGTAGGTGATTGTGTTGGCTGTGGTTGGTAGGTAGGTGATTGTGTTGGCTGTGGTTGGTAGGTAGGTGATTGTGTTGGCTGTGGTTGGTAGGTAGGTAGATGATTGTGTTGGCTGAAGTTGAAGGTAGGTAGGTGATTGTGTTGGCTGACGTTGGTAGGTAGTTGATTGTGTTGGCTTAAGTTGGTTGGTAGGTGATTGTGTTGGCTGTGGTTGGTAGGTAGGTGATTGTGTTGGCTGACGTTGGTAGGTAGGTAGTTGATTGTGTTGGCTGACGTAGGTAGGTAGTTGATTGTGTTGGCTGACGTTGGTAGGTAGGTAGTTGATTGTGTTGGCTTAAGTTGGTAGGTAGTTGATTGTTTTTTTTTGTTTGTGTTATGGAGTATTAAATACATGCATGGACTAAACTTTACTTAAAATCTGTTTAAAATGTATTATGTATTTAGATTTTAACGAATATATTAAGTGACGACATTTACTGTTACACTTCACAAATTGAAAGAAGAGTTCGTGTTCCGTTTCTGTAGCATAAAGTAGATCTTATCCGTTACATGATATTTCTCAACTAATTTTATTTTAAAACTCTCTTGTTATTGCTATAATGATATTAAAGGGATTGATTTCTGTTTTAATGCTGCTGATTGGTATACGTCTCACACAGATCTGACGCTGGTTAGTGCTGGAGTACTACTCGCAGTCTACCGGGCCAAGCAAATCTTTTCTTAGATGTTTTTTAATGGAGAAAACTTCAAACCACCGGTTGATAATGATTCGGTTGATGAATGGTTCGAAAAGAGTTTCTGGCAATCGTTAAATAAATATAAGTAATGCAAAACATTTTTTGTAAAATTATATTTTGCAATTAAATACGTTAATATAATTACTTAAAATGTCATTATATGGGTTATTAATAACTAAATTAGAAAAAACACGGATCGTGTAATTAATATTGAGATTTTTTTTCATTACTTACGCCTCACCATCACCGTTAGATTCGTTTGAATCTAGAGATGGTATTTAGAATCTAATTAATCTATTTTATTTTAATGTTGTCAGAGTTTTGTTGTTTTCTGTCCTTAGACACTCGTCATATTGGCATACATGTAGATTGTATGTTGAATGATGTTTCTTTTTAAATCTAACTTTATTGCGTTAGGTCAGTTTCAATTACTGAGAATTATTCTTTAGGAAAAAATTCCACGTTAATGCAAACACTTTTTAAATGTTCCCTGAATTTAGACTATGTTTATAATGCCTCATATGTGTAGTTTTTACTAAAGATTGCCAGAGACTCTCAACGATTGAATGTGTTCATGAGTTTTACCTATTCCATGTTGCACAAAAACTAATTGCAAATGTTGCATATAATTAAGAGATGTCATTGTATAAGTAGTACAACAACCAATAAGAAACGTTACCATCATGCGAAGATCGATTCGATTTGTCTCAAGTTTTCTAACAACGAATCAAATGTTTAATAAACACATAGAATGCTAAATAAACACATCGAATGCTAAATAAACACATCGAAACACAAAGAGAACGTCCGAGTTTTCTCTGTATGAGTGGTGGTCATGTGAACGTGTTTTGATGTTTATTTAAAGCCTTACGTCAATGTGTTGTTATAGCAGGTAGTTAGAAAAACATCGACTAAAAAATGACACTCAATGTCGGAAAGAAGGGGGGGGGGAGTAGTTAGAATGGAGGTATATATATATATATATATATATATATATATATATATATATATATATATATATATATATATATATATATATATATATATATCGAACCTTGGTCTTCGTCTCCCGCTCCTCAACAATGGATGAGGCGGTGAAGCTGAAGATGCCGATAAACATCATAGGATAGATCAAGGTGTAGTCCAAGAATAAGTCGCGCACCAGCAGGTGGTCAAGCTCGCTGGGCATTCTCTGCACGTGGACCTCCGGCAGCTGGTACGGTGCTTGTTGTTTATGCTTCCTCCAGTAGTTGATGAAGATGCGGGTCAGCTGGTACTGCAGTTCAATCAGCTTATTTCTATTAATTTGATAATTTTCTTTTTCCCCATCAAATCTATTTTTTTTTAATGTAAAATATTTGAAATAAATCTGTAAGTTTATAATATGAGCAGAATAGACAATGCACTGCAAAAATGTTGACCTCTAAGGGTTGCGTATGATGTTGACATTTTACACAGTGACAGTTCCTTCTCTTCATGCTGACAAAATCCAAATGTGGTTGGTTAGAGTAAAGTTACGACAACAAAAGCGTCCTTGTACAGATACACATACTTCAAGCGACCTCCGGAAATTCCCGAAATCTCGAGCCAAATAGTGTTTCATTGAACACAGCAGACCGCGTCAATGACATGTGGAGTTAACATATACATGGCGCATGTAGACTGATAAACAAAACATCACAAATTAAGGATAGAAACATTACAAATTAAGGATAAAAACATCATTATTATAACCATCGAACCACAACTGGTTGGGTAAACTACTTAATAATCCACGAATGCTGGATTCTTGAAACTCAGTAAGGGATAGTTTGCTAAAATATTATTTACACATTAAGCTATGGCTTTTAATCCATTGCTAAAATACTTCTCATTGGTTGTATAGAATAAAAATATGATATTCTTGATATCTCTAGCACCAGTATAATCAGCCTACACAATGAGTTGTAACCCTTAGATCAGCATGCCGTAAGGCTTAAATTAAAAACACTTAACCCACGAAACGTAATCCCTAATTATTCAATGGGACGGAGTAGTCTAGCGGTAGAGATATGGACAGCTAACCCGTAAGTCTCGAGTTCGAATCCGGGTTTAAGTCAGTACTTGACTCCACCAACTCATGAGGGGTACCCCTAACTAACGTTAGGGAAAGTAAAGGCGGCTGGGCATAGTGCTGACCACACTTTCACTTCATATGCCGAGGTCACAGAAACAAGTGAACTCTACTTCACTTGCCCTATAGACCGTCAGGTTTGAAAAGGGAACTTTACTAATTATTCAACACAAAAAGTACAAATCTAATTAAACCACACTTAAAGTAGACCATCTGACCTCATTATTTTATATTTAAGCACAACTGTTAATCATCAGACAGGTAAATCACATTACTTAATCCAAACTTAACGCTAATCCCTATATAATAAATCTATAGGCCCACCATGCTATAGGAATAAATCTATAGGCCCACCATGCTAGAGGAATAAATCTATAGGCCCACCGTGCTAGAGGAATAAATCTATGGGCCCACCATGCTAGAGGAATAAATCTATAGGCCCACCATGCTAGAGGAATAAATCTATAGGCCCACCATGCTAGAGGAATAAATCTATAGGCCCACCATGCTAGAGGAATAAATCTATAGGCCCACCATGCTAGAGGAATAAATCTATAGGCCCACCGTGCTAGAGAAATAAATCTATAAGCCCACCGTGCTGGAGGAATAAATCGATAGGCCCACCATGCTAGAGGAATAAATCTATAGGCCCACCATGCTAGAGGAATAAATCTATAGGCCCACCAGCTAGAGGAATAAATCTACAGGCCCACCATGCTAGAGGAATAAATCTATAGGCCCACCATGCTAGAGGAATAAATCTATAGGCCCACCATGCTAGAGGAATAAATCTATAGGCCCACCATGCTAGAGGAATAAATCTATAGGCCCACCATGCTAGAGGAATAAATCTATAGGCCCACCATGCTAGAAAAATAAATCTATAGGCCCACCATACTGGATATAGTGCTGACTACAGTGTGAACCAAATTAACACTTTAATTCTTTGCTATAATTTTCTAGATTTTGGTGGGCGACAACTCTGGTTACAAGACGTGAACTCATGGAGAAAATGTTCAAGTTTGTTCTGCTCATCTCCCTTGGTTTTCTACCCGGTATGTGAGTTTCATGTAGTCAGATAGTAAATATGTTGGACACTTTTTAAACTGTATGTAGGTGTACTCAGATACAGAAAATGTAGGACATATTTTATACTGTATGTAAGTGTATTCAGATACAAAAAATGTACGACAGATTTTATTCTGTATGTAAGTGTAATCAGATACAGAAAATGTAGGACAGATTTTATACTGCATGTAAGTGACTTACATTCAGAAGAAATATGGTGAGAATAAAAGGATTTTGTTATACCCAGATGCCGTTCTTAACACTGGTTCACTTGAACTGAGTATTTGATGTTGTTATACACAGATGCCGTGAGTAGCATTCGTTTCCTTGACCTGAGTATTGTCGGCTATCTTGCTAACAGCGAGAAAACTGGCTTTGTGACTGGAACGTTTATCGACAGAGCTGCACGCAAGGAGGGCAGGTGCACACACGTCACTTTGTTTAAATGTAATCCAAGTGCGGACTGTAGCCAATCGTCATCTTGGCAAGAGGTGGGTATGCGTTTTCTAGTTGGCGTGTTTGTGACATTTTTAGTTGGCGTGTTTGTGACATTTCTAGTTGGCGTGTTTGTGACATTTCTAGTTGGCGTGTTTGTGACATTTCTAGTTGGCGTGTTTGTGAAATTTTTAGTTTTTGTGTTTGTAACATTTCTAGCTAGCGTGTTTGTGACATTTCTAGTTGGCGTGTTTGTGACATTTCTAGTTGGCGTGTTTTTGAAATTTCTAGTTGTCGTGTTTGTGACATTTCTAGTTGGCGTGTTTGTGACATTTCTAGTTGGCGTCTTTGTGACATTTCTAGTTCGCGTGTTAGTGATAATTCTAGTTGGTGTGTTTGTGACATTTCTTCTTGGCGTGTTTGTGACATTTCTGATTGGCGTGTTTGTGACATTTCTAGTTGGGTTTGTTTGTGACGTTTCTAGTTGGCGTGTTCTTGACGTTTGTTTGGCTAATGCTTTAAGCTCACGAAAGTTCAAGTTTTCTTGTAAAACTAGAATCATAACCATAATCCTAGTTTTAATCTTCATGATCCCAAAGCTAAAAAAAACTAAATACCCGTGTATATTCTGCTACAAAATATATGCCCCGTGAATACTCTGCTCTCTGTATCATCCCAAGGCTACACAATATATGCCCCGTGTATACTCTGCTCTCTGTATCATCCCAAGACTACACAATATATGCCCCGTGTATATCCTGCTCTCTGTATCATCCCAAGGCTACACAATATATGCCCCGTGTATATCCTGCTCTCTGTATCATCCCAAGGCTACACAATATATGCCCCGTGTATATCCTGCTCTCTGTATCATCCCAAGGCTACACAATATATGCCCCGTGTATATCCTGCTCTCTGTATCATCCCAAGGCTACACAATATATGCCCCGTGTATACCCTTGTTTCCCCAGGCGTGCCGACTGTTCGCGTACCCTTGCCAGATGACCGCCTGTGGGAACAGCACGCCGACGCAGCAGGAGTGCTACTGCTCCACTGGTCATCCGACCGTCATCTGGTTCACTGTCCGTCCGACCATGCAATATCGTCTGAATGCCAAACTCATGGAGCACAATCAAGAGTTGGGACAACTGGACAGCAACGTCTTTGTCGCGAATTCTGGTATGGAACAGTTAGCATTGTCTTACGTACATTGGGTAAATATGGGGGTTATGTAAAGGGTTATATTTTAATTGAAATAAGTTTTTCGACTACTTAAGCATCAGGTTGTGTTGATTGGGCGATCAGCACGGAGTTTAAGAGTACTGCTTGATTCAGTGTCAGGGATTTCTACTTGATTTAATTGCCAAGAGTTTCTACTTGATTAAGTAGTCAGGAGTTTCTACTTGATTCAATTGTCAGGAGTTTCTACTTGACTCAATTGTCAGGAGTTTCTACTTGATTCAATTGTCAGGAGTTTCTACTTGATTCAGTTGTCAGGAGTTTCTACTTGTTTCAATTGTCAGGAGTTTCTACTTGATTCAATTGTCAAGAGTTTCTACTTTATTCAATTGTAATGAGTTTCTAATCATAGATTAAGGACATGGTGGGCTACTAGCGTGGAAAAACCGCCCCCAACAACAAAGATCCACTAAATATAGGGCCGACAGTTTTTACATTTAAACAACCCTTAAAAAAAAGTAACAGGTCACACGTCTGAAAATAGATCATTGGTAACGCATTGACGAAAATCTCTTTCTCGAATATTCTTATATAAAAAAGAGGGGATGGGAACTCGGGATATAGGCATGAATTTTAATCCATTTTAAATACTTTTTAAAATAGAATAAAATCTCTTAGAAAAAGAATTGCACACCGGTGAACGCCGAATAAAATGTGCATAATAGTGCGCAATATTATTAGTACTTTATAAATTTACATGCATTTTTTTTAGAAATAGGAAATAGCGTAAATTACTACTTCCGGTCAACGGAAATTACTCAAAATTTGAAAGAAGGTAGAGAATTAGATCTTTTACTCTAGTGTGCAATTTTATTTATCTATCTGAAATAGTACTCAAGTTATAGCCTTTTGAAAAATTCAAAATAAAAAGTAACACTTCCGGTTATCGGAAATCGCTCAAAAATTGATGCGGATCTATGATTTTGATAAAATACTTGTATATGAAATTTAATCAACCTAGCTGTAACGGTACTCAAGTTATCGTGTTTACACACACACACACACAGAGAAACACACACACACACACAGACATACAGACAAGATTGCAAAATTATGTTTTTCCGTATCAGTGGGGTGTAAAACATCGAGATTTGTAAAAATCTCGTGGGGTTTTTTTTTTGTTTTTTTTTTTTGCACGATTACAAGACTTTCTCTATACTTTGTATATACGAGAAAGTAAAAAATGTAATTTTATTGTTTCATGAATTTCCTTTTTAAAAATCTATTTTGTGGTCTAAAGGAAACAAACATGAGAATAGTATCCTTTGGAGTTTAGCCAGTGTTAACTCTCTTTAAGAAAAATCAATGATATTAATTTTAATATTACCACGTACTACTATGTACATGTATTCATATTTATTTTTATTAATATTACGATTTATTTCCGGAATCATATTTAATATATTTAACAATTTTTATTCAATACTAGCCGTCCCGGCCAGGCCCTGCTCTGGCTTCTATGAAAAACCTTTCTGTTAGAGACCATTACCTGTGTGTTTAGTAATCATCATAAACCCGGCATTGCCCACCCAAACCACAACCAACCAAAACCAAAACAACAAAACGCAAACTGACGCTAACACAATTACAAATACAAACGAAAACAAAAACCTAACAACAAACCCAACCACAATCACAAACACCAATACAAACACAAAGAAAAAACAAACAAAAAAGCAAACGAAAACAAAAACCTAACAACAAACCCAACCACAAACACCAATACGAACACAAAGAAAAAAACAAACGAAAAAGCAAACGAAAACAAACCAAAACCAACCACAAACACAAATACAAACACAAACCTAAAGAAAAAACACAAACGAAAACGAAAAAAGAAAGAACAAAAACGAACCAAATCAAAACGCAACCACTAACGCAAACCCAACCTAAACACAAAGAAAACACTAACGCGAACATAAACGCAAAGTGCTCACAGTCTAGCCCGGGGCAGAATCGCCTGTTTCAGCTTAATAATCAACTATACCACCCCAACTTATTCATAGTCTTTTGCACTCACTTAAACGAACGTAGGTGGTAAACCAAACCAAATGAACAATTATAATACTCCAAGCTTATTCGTAAAATACCTCCAACATTTGCACTTGATCAATCCCCGCTAATTATGTAATTATTTTTTTCCCAACACCAAAGCAAAGTAATAAAAAGTAAATTCTTTTCCATTAATGCAATGTTTTATAAAGGGAAGTAATTGTGTTTTCCTAATTTATCAAAAGGAAGTAAGTGCTAATTGACTAAATATAAATAATTTTCAGACATAATTAGAATTTTTGTTATTTTTTTAAAATTGTGTTTAATGAACATGCCGACAATTATTACTATCAGTTTGAAAAATGAAAATTATTTCCGAACACTTTCAATAGTAATTTTTTAACTCATAAATTTAGACTATGAGCACGGTAATAGTCTAACACTTAAACCCATAGAAGTATGTCAACGACAACAAATTTATTACATGTTACATACAGAATTGAGCTTTATATATTGATAAATCGGGGTTTAGATCACTCTTCTCTTTGCCTCTACATATTTATCTGGATGTCAAGCAATATATTAGAACAATAAATATTTTAATGAAAGTAGTCAATGCCCGATGTATTCAGAGAATTCCATATATCTTGTTGAGAAAGTTTTATAAATAGATGTAACCATGCCCATGACATTGTGAAACTGAAATGTCTCGTATCATTTTTCTCAGACCATCCGTGACATCAAGGGTAGCCTGCAGTAGTATGTGCTGATTCTAAGTGTTTTGTGTACACAAACCCACACACATACACACACACATATATATATATATATATATATCTATATATATATATATATATATATATATATATATATATATATATATATATATATATATATGTGTGTGTGTGTATATATATATATATATATATATATATATATATATATATATATATATATATGTGTGTGTGTGTGTTTGCGATGTTCTATCAACAGATGATCCTGAACATTCTCGAAGCAAAAGTCTCAGTGGATCGAATCAGTTGCGTTTCGGTATGTCCACAACGATTTTTTAAAATGTATTTCCGGTTGTGTGAGCTAGGTGGGTTACACTGTTGGCTAACCTTGCTTTCTACTGGCTGGGAAGTTTAAATAAAAGAATATTATGTACATTTTAAAGTAGATGTGATAGTAGGTACATGATATTGTCGAACTAGTTTTATACTTAAAATGTCTATTTTGTATTTATTATAATGATTTGTATTAGACAGATTTAGTTTCAATATGGACTTGCAATAATTTGAGGCTGTTTATTCCAGATCTGGAACTGGTTGTTGCTAGTGTACTAGTCGCCTCCTACCTGGCCAAGCCAATCTGTACTTAAATGATCTGCAGTGGAGAAGATTCTCTAGCCGTCGATTGATTTGGGGAAACATTGCCATCGATCGTTTGATAATTCCATGAATCGGGAGCAACAAATGTTCACCTTGGAACTCAATGTTTTATGTAAATAGAAATAAATAATTGAATTTGTTACCTAAAACGGACTATGCCTTAGCCTGCCAGTTATTCTTTTCATAACTAGAAAAAAGTAGAAATTATTTAATAGCGAGAAATGGTCGTTAGTTTTGTGTGATCCACCTTCATTGTTAGATTCGTTTTACTTCGCTAGTCCGTTATTTCATCAAAATTAATCTAAACGTCTTGTTTTAAACAAAATTAGCCTAATAGTTTTGTTTTTCTCTTGTCAATAAATATTTAACTAAGCATTTATTTTATAACTCTCATTAGGATTAAAATCTTAGCGATTATTAGGTAGGCCCTTGATTGATTTTTCTGTGAGTTAAATTGCTTCAGAAAAGCTTCTTGATTTTTTTTATAAATGTGTCATATATTCCAATGCAACAGCAAGGCATCGTACCATTTGTAGTTTCTGTTTCCCGTGTATACACCTTGTTTGTTCTTAAGTAAATTCTATCATGCACCTGATTGTTTCTAAATTATCGGCCTTCCAGTGGCAAAGGTCTTGAGATAATTTTAGCATCACTGTGTCTTACAATCATGTAATTTTAGCCAATAAAATTAATGGTATCTGTTTTTCTTTGTTAACATCCAATTATTTGTTATCAGCCTAAAATTTGTTTCTCTTTGAAAGTTAACTTTGTTTTGCTTTGTTTTGTTTTTTATTGTCTAGTGTTTTTTTAAAGGTTTGCTTGTTTTTCTAGATTGCCAAGCTTTTTTTTTTTTTTTTTTTTTTGTAAGATTGTGATCTATTATTTTATGTTTAATTATGAAAATTGATTTTTTTTCAAGATTGTGAATTTCAAATTCTTTTGAAAAAAATTTACTTTCGATGTTGGGAACTTTCAATTCCTTTTGAATTTGAATTTTTTCAAGTCCGTAAAATTTATATTTTTAAATTGGAATTTGTTTTTTTTTTTTTGTTTTTTTTTTTTGCAAAAATGTTAATTTTCTTATAAATTTAAAAGTTTTTATTTTAGATGCTAGACTTTGAAAGTTAACTTTGTTTTGCTTTGTTTTGTTTTTTATTGTCTAGTGTTTTTTTAAAGGTTTGCTTGTTTTTCTAGATTGCCAAGCTTTTTTTTTTTTTTTTTTTTTTTGTAAGATTGTGATCTATTATTTTATGTTTAATTATGAAAATTGATTTTTTTTCAAGATTGTGAATTTCAAATTCTTTTGAAAAAATTTACTTTCGATGTTGGGAACTTTCAATTCCTTTTGAATTTGAATTTTTTCAATTTCGTAAAATTTATATTTTTAAATTGGAATTTGTTTTTTTTTTTGTTTTTTTTTTGCAAAAATGTTAATTTTCTTATAAATTTAAAAGTTTTTATTTTAGATGCTAGACTTTGATTTCTTTTTAAAAATTTTAATTTGTTTTTTTCAGGGTTGTAAGATTTTAAATCTTTTTTAAATTGAAGATTTGTCTTAAGATTACATATTAAAGCGTTGTTTAGGTTGGGGGGGGGGTTGTTTTTAAATTGTGATCTTTGATTTCTTTAGTATATTTAAAAGTTAATTTCAAGATTTTTAACTTCATTTATTTTTCCAATTTTTTTTTCAAAGATAGTAAAAAAAGTTAAATAAATAGTCTTCGATTTTATTTTTCAATTTTTTGAAATGTATTAATGTTTTATTTTTATTTTAAATAGTTATTTTTTTTTAAGATTACTAAATTTGTTTGTATAAAAATGTTTCAAGTTTGTTTCATCTTTTTGCTCATTCAAGCAACCCACAGAGTATAAGAAAGAGGTAAAGTTTTAAAGATGTACACATTTTTATTCTCAAGCAAAAAATGGCAACAAAACAAGCACTCTTCTGTTCAACACGATTTATTCTGCCTTTACGAAGGTCTACAGTAGCTTGCTGGGGACAGTAACCAATCAGTCATCTAGAGTTTCAGATTGGCTGTCGCTATGGAAACGCGAGGCGTTGCCATGGCGATGCCCTGGCGGGAGGGTTCCATTAGTAATGGCGCGCGTCATCGTCATTTGCATAAGCAAGACGTCATCGTGTCTGATTCCAGCGAGTGTATCAAAGCGAAGGGACCAATTGTGTTTACGGGTGGAGAGTTTGTAAACGAGTTATGAATGATGTTACTGCGGGACCAGACTTTCTATTCGACTTTTGTTGACGCGATACGATGTTACGAGTAACTTTGAGACACTTCGACTGGCAACATACTAACGCTGACCGTTCACCATACACAAAATGACATACTTGACCGCAATCGTACGCGCATAGATCATAAGAATTCGTTACGTTTGAAACAAAATTACAAAAGGAAATCGTGAAAAAAAATCTGAAATATTTGAGTTGATTGAATTACTCGCCCTTCGTGGGCAAGCCTAAAGATTTGGATGACTAAAGATTTTCAGACAACTTCCTGAGGTTTAATTTCTGTAGCCTTCGGTTTGTTCAAAAATTGAAATGCCTGTTGGTGCTCTCGTTCAGAAACTTTTTAAAATGTCGACATTAAATCTCGAAATTTCTAAACGAAAAGATTTTAAAATTAAAGAAGGCATGAGTTTTTGGGGGAAAAATTGGAAAGAAATGCTTGAGTTCGGTACTTAGAAAGTACAATTTGGACTCAATTTAAGTTCTACACAAACATTCTTACAAATTTTGTTTACAAAGTGTGACGCAATTAGTTCTAAGATACACACCAATATGTTTACAAGTTTTTAATGATAGCTTAAACTTCTTTCTCAGTCCACGACCCTGGTGTTAGATGTCGACGTGTTTTAGTGGACTCCCAGTGGCATCAAAGTCCTAAAAGCCACCGAGAGATCGTGAAACTGTTCTGATATAGGTAGAAAATAAAAGAAGTTTTTTGATGGTTTCGATGGTGGTGTTGCGTTTTTTGAAAGCGAGTGCGTTTAGAAGCACTTGCGGTGGACGATGGAGGGGCCAGACTCATCGTATTCCTGTTTGGAGATCCACATCTGTTGGAAGGTGGAGAGGGAGGCCAAGATGGAGCCACCGATCCATACGGAATATTTACGCTCTGGTGGGGCAATGATCTTGATCTTCATGGTGCTGGGAGCCAGGGAGGTGATTTCCTTCTGCATACGGTCAGCAATACCTGGGAACATGGTGGTGCCTCCAGACAAGACGGTGTTGGCGTACAGATCCTTACGGATGTCGACGTCGCACTTCATGATGGAGTTGTAGGTGGTTTCATGGATACCGGCAGACTCCATACCCAAGAAGGATGGTTGGAAGAGGGACTCTGGGCACCTGAAGCGCTCGTTGCCAATGGTGATGACCTGACCGTCGGGAAGCTCGTAGCTCTTCTCGAGGGAGGAGGAGGAGGCAGCGGTGGCCATTTCCTGCTCGAAGTCCAGGGCGACGTAGCAGAGTTTCTCCTTGATGTCGCGGACAATCTCACGCTCAGCGGTGGTGGTGAAGGAGTAGCCTCTCTCGGTGAGGATCTTCATCAGGTAGTCGGTGAGATCACGGCCGGCCAAGTCCAGACGGAGGATGGCGTGGGGGAGGGCGTAACCTTCGTAGATGGGGACGGTGTGGGTGACACCATCACCAGAGTCGAGCACGATACCGGTGGTACGGCCAGAGGCGTACAGGGAGAGTACGGCCTGGATGGCGACGTACATGGCGGGGGCGTTGAAGGTCTCGAACATGATCTGGGTCATCTTTTCTCTGTGGGCAGATACAGATATGCCAATAGACGGTCACAAAACACGGGGGGGACAGATACAGATATACCAATACACAGTCACAAAACACAGGGAGAGAATATAATACAGATAGGAAAACACAGGAACAGATACAGAAAGAAAAACAAAGGAACAAATACAGAAAGGAAAACACAGGAGCAGATACAGAAAGGAAAACACAGGAACAGATACAGAAAGGAAAACACAGGAACAGATACAGAAAAGAAAACACAGGAACAGATACAGAAAGGAAAACACAGGAACAGATACAGAAAGGAAAACACGGGAACAGATACAGAAAGGAAAACACAGGAGCAGATACATAAAGGAAAACACATAACAGATACAGATATACCAATACACAGTCACAAAACACAAGGACAGATTATAATACAGATAGGAAAACACATGGACAGAAATAGATAGAAAAATACACAATCTAACTCGCCAAAATCAGATATAGAGATAAATAAGGTTTGGGTAATGATTATAAATTTGCAGTAAAAATAAAGCTTTTTATAAATTGGACTGAATAATTCATTGAAAGAAATGAAACTGTTGTTGTTTTGAGAAATCGTTTGACATTAGTTTTACAGGTTTACATTTATGTTCTCTTATTTACGTTCTTTTAGCAAGATTTGATGAGAAAACTGGACAGAAGGAACAGTAGAATTGGCCAAATACCGTGGGGTAACAAGGAGATTAAATACATTACGTAATACAGAAGCTACACACATACACACACATAAAGCATCACACATTTGGATGTTGCAGAAACTATCGCGTTAAACATAAATTGAAATAGTGAGACAAAGATTTTGTGACAAATGATGACATTTATATTAACAGTAGATCTTCTGTTTTTTCGTTCTTCTTTTTATAGATTGGATCAAAGAAAATGTTTATCTTGTTCAACAATGGAATGTTTATTTTTCAATAACTGAATTGTTAAATGTTGTATTCGAATACAACCTAATGTTAGATCATGTCACTAGAACATGTCACAAGAACATGTCACAAGAACATGTCACAAGAACAAATCGCATGAGCACCAGCTAGAAGGTTTATCTGGCGCCTGCTATAGAACAGTTCAAATTCCCTCAAGTCCTCACTATTTCAACAGCTGTTTACGGTTAGTGCTGGGTACTTTAAAAAGCTGAACGTACCTGTTGGCTTTGGGGTTGAGGGGGGCCTCAGTGAGGAGGACGGGGTGCTCCTCGGGGGCGACTCTCAACTCATTGTAGAAGGTGTGGTGCCAGATTTTCTCCATGTCGTCCCAGTTTGTGACGATACCGTGTTCGATGGGGTACTTGAGGGTCAGGATACCTCTCTTGGATTGGGCCTCGTCTCCTACGTAGCTGTCTTTCTGTCCCATACCAACCATGACACCCTGGGGAGGACAGCAACACGTTAGTTGGGGGGTCGGGAGGAATAAACAAAGACAAATACATCAGAAAAAGGCAGGTATTTTAAAGGGTGGAAGTCTAGGTGAAGTAGAGTGACCCAGTTTTGTTTTTAAAATTGCGAGTGGATTTGACAGGTCGAAAAGTTGAGTTTTGTCAACCGGTTCAAAATGCCGGCAGAACCGGTTTAATGAAGGGCTAACGATCTCATCAAATATGATTATGGGGTCTCGGGAGGGAACACATTAGGGAACACGAGGAGGAAGATAACAATCTTCACATACAGCATGTGTTTAGCTAACCATGTGGTTTTCTATGTATTAAGCTAACCATGTCTAAATATTGAAGCCATGGTTATGGTAGGGGTAGAGGAGCTAAGACAATGGAATAATGTGCTTAAACATCTAGAGGTAGCCATGAGCTAAAACATTTTGAATAATGTGCTTATAACATTTAATGTTAGCCATGAGCTAAAACAATATAACATTTCAAGCTTAGCTAGAACGTATAAAAAGCTTTCGAATATAACATACAGGCGCTTTTGTTTTATGGATAACTCGACACGATCTAAGCTTGACATTCCAGGATCGCTGTCTGTGAGTAATTAATTTATGGGCTTCGAGTGCGGTTGAATAAACAATCACCCACCCCCCACACCCTCTACCTAGCCTCTCCCTGAGTTTTCAAGTGGAATGGAAGGTCTTCCCGTCCCACCCCACCCCTTTCTTCCTGCATGTGATAAAAGAAAGCTGTGCTCTCTAGTTGCGTGCCACGTGGTGGTACCACCACGTGACACGATGTGGTACCACCACGTGTGTAATGTGGTGCCGGTCTAGTAGTGTGCCACTCCAAACAGTATTTCCCCCAGTGTTCATTGGTCAGTTTAACAGAACAAAATCTTAGATTCTATTCTATAGTATTCAAATGATTTGTTTCCTTTACTTTAAGTACCGAAACGTTTTAAGTTTTGAGTTCTGAACTTTTAATGTAATCTTATTCAGAAAATTAATTGTTTCAATTTAAAGTCATTAAATGTTTTCTTTTACCTAAGTTTTTTGTCAAAAGTGAAATGAGAAATCATCTGATTAAAATCTTTTTCTTTTCTTGTAGTAGACTCTTTTGTTTCTAGTTTCAATACATTCCAGCCTTAAGTTGTCCTTTTGATATTCCATTAAGTTTTGCTAAGTGTGGGGCCGCGTGCCCAAACACACTCCCAAATACAACACACCCACAAAGGATTGTCCACCTGAGCTAAAAATAGACGCATGAGTAAAATGCCTGCGCGCTCACCCCATGACGTCACCGCGGGGCTACCCAGGGGCCGGTAACTCTCGCTGCCATATAAGTCCATGCCAAGATGGCGCTGGCAGGGCGTGCTCGCGCGCGGTGCATGACGTCACGCACCCCATGGGTTACCGGTGAACGCTCTCGCCTAGGAACCGCCGCCATCTTTTAAAAAATCGCGTGCCTTTCTTTGGGCAGCCTGCCATAAAAACACCTTTCCCGCCTTCCAGCGTGGTTCTAGCGAACGATTATTGGACAAACTTGCAAACTTTGCAAAATCGATATAGGTAGATCAGCGATTTGATTTGATATCATTCCTAGTTATTCACAGTAATCGAACGTTTGTATTTACTTCCAATCATTTTGTTACTGCAGCTAGATCTAGCAATGGTCAGCGAACAAGGACTAAAGAATAGAAATACGGAGCGAACAAAGAAACAATGGTAAACTGCTAGGAAATAAAACAAGTAGAATACTTATCTAGTGAAATAAAACAAGTAGAATACTTATTTAGTGAAAAAAACAAGTAGAATACTTATTTAGTGAAATAAAACAAGTAGAATACTTATCTAGTGAAATAAAACAAGAAGAATACTTATCTAGTGAAATAAAACAAGAAGAATACTTATCTAGTGAAATAAAACAAGTAGAATACTTTCTAGTGAAATAAAACAAGTAGAATACTTATCTAGTGAAATAAAACAAGTAGTATACTTATATAGTGAAAAAAAACAAGTAGAATACTTATCTAGTGAAAAAAAAACAAGTAGAATACTTATCTAGTGAAATAAAACAAGTAGAATACTTATCTAGTGAAATAAAAAAAAGTAGAATACTTATCCAGTGAAATAAAACAAGTAGAATACTTATCTAGTGAAATAAAACAAGTAGTATACTTATGTAGTGAAAAAAAAACAAGTAGAATACTTATCTAGTGAAAAAAACAAGTAGAATACTTATCTAGTGAAATAAAACAAGTAGTATACTTATCTAGTGAAATAAAACAAGTAGAATACTTATCTAGTGAATACAGACAGAACACAGTAATGTATAGATGTAGTGAGAGACAGATTTTAGGAATGGGTTTAAGGCATAGAGGAATATTTGAAGTATACACGGCGAGTTTGGGAAAAGTAAAGTTTATAGGTAAATAAGATTTGAGGAAAAGCAAAGTTTACAGGTAAATAATAAGAATTTGGGAGCAGTAAATTTGTTAAGTCTACAAAGAGTAGCTAAAAAGTGAATACAAACATGGATCTGAAACTCGTTAGAACGAAGCTAAAAATAGATCTAGGTGGGGTGCATTTAGTATTGTGTTGCCAGCTTTATATAGATATTTGTCCCAATCGACATATTTTTAAACGTTTCTTTTCTTTTTATTTAGATAAGAACTCTATATAAATGTCTACAACCATTCCTTTTAAAAATATTCTTTTGTTTTACTATCTTCCTGTACATAATATGGGATCTTATTTTGCTTAGCTGCAGATTTAAATTTAGAAACGAATGGAGGATTGTACAAACGTGTTTCACTCCAGATATCAGACAGTAAGAACTGATTGTATTAGCTCGTATTTAGGTAGTTAAATATTCAAGCTAGTTCTACACATTATTTGGTAGTTAAATATTCAAGCTAGTTCTACACATTATTTGGTAGTTAAATATTCAAGCTAGTTCTACACATTATTAGGTAGTTAAATACTAAAGCTAGTTCTTGATATAATTAGGTAGTTAAATCCTAAAGCTAGTTCTTGATATAATTAGGTAGTTAACCAAGCTAGTTCTTGGTTAGTTAAATGAACAAGCTAGTTCTAGATAGAATTAGATATTCAAATGAATCAAGCTAGTCGTATTTATAATTAGGTGTTACAATTTATAAAGCTAGTCCTAGATATAATTAGGTATTGAACTCAATCAAGCTAGACCTAGATATAACTAGGTATTGAATTGAACTAATCTAGCCATATATATATAACTAGGTATTGAATTTAACTAAGCTAGCCATAGATATTGCTAGGTATTGAATTCAACTAAGCTAGCCATAGATATAACAAGGTATTGAATTCAACTAAGCTAGCCATAGATATAACAAGGTATTGAATTTAACTAATCTAGCCATAGATATAACTGGGTATTGAATTTAACTAAGCTAGCCATAGATATAACTAGGTATTGTTATCAACTAAGCCCTGGATATTATTAGGTAATGAATCAAGCTAGTCCTAGATAACTTTAGGCTAAGCTCAATAAGAACACGATTAAGCTCATGAAATCGCGATGTTATCCACTGCCAATCCAGAGCGAAGAAAAATTAAAAACAGTTTTATCGACAGCAAGCGATACTTTGTGTCATCAGCACAGGAAGATGTGAGTGCATGCTGGATGGTATTGACACAATCACTGCTAACTCCAGTGTTCGAAGCACATTATTACCAAAACTTCTAATTGAATCATTTAATCACAGTTATTAATTAATTAATTAATTAATCAACTCACCTGATGACGGGGTCTGCCGACAATGGATGGGAAGACGGCCCTGGGGGCATCGTCTCCGGCGAACCCGGCTTTGCACATGCCGGAGCCATTGTCCACTACGAGGGCAGCTACTTCATCGTCGCACATGGTGATGTGTGGTTGTTGTTGGGGAGTTACAAGAAGTACGTCGGTCTGGGCACCTTCGCTGGCTTACGAAGAGTCTGGTGCTCAGCTCTGGGATCTCGGCGCTTATATACCCGCTGGGCCGTGTTCTCAAGACTTCCAGGAAATCTGTCGAGCCGAGATCCCTTATTTGGCACGGCATGGTTCCAGCTATACGTGAGTACTCCACCGGTGGGGGAGGGGGTGGGGGGAGGGGGCAGGGGCTGAAGGAAGACGAGCAGATTTAGGACACGGTTGAAAATAGTAGGCGGGGTGGACGTGTGAGAGTGGAAGCATCTAGGTCAAGATGGAGAGGGCGGGAGTGTCAAAGGTCAGGGGTCGTGGAGGTGTCTGGGGGGGGGGGGGGGAATTTGTAGAGTAGGATATCATTTTCTTCTCGATCTCCTTGCCGGTGTGTGTGTGTGTGTTTGTGTGTGGGTGTGGGTGTGGGTGTGCGCGCGTCTGTACGTGTGTGCAGCGTATACGTGTGAGTGTGCGTGTATGTGAAAGTGTGGGTTGTATTGAGAATTCCATTTGCAGCACAATTGTTGGCACTATTTAGAGCCAAAGCTCAACAGTTATCGAACTGCCTAAGACAACATTCCTATGCTGTTAGGGGCATAACCAGGGCACCTATAGGGCATTTGTCATTAAATGTTATAGTTTAACAATGGAAAAATATTTTTGTTTTATTTTTGTGTGGAACTAAGTGTGTGTGAGGGGGAGGGGGGGGGGGGGAATGCAATAAATTATATTTGTGTGTGTGACTGGCAAAAAGGGGGGGGGGGGACTACTTTAATTATGTTCAAAGAATAAAAGAACCCACGTGTTCTCGTCAATCAAATGGTGCTGGAGGGTTCGGGTTTTTTGAAAGATGAGGGGTTCGAGACATAATGATGTAGGGGTTCGAGACATAATGATGTAGGGGTTCGAGACATAATGATGTAGGGGTTCGAGACATAATGATGTAGGGGTCAGTGACATTTCTTGTTGGGGAGGGTAGGTAATATTCAGGGGGGGGGGTCTGATGGTTATGTGATACATGCCCACACATCTTGAGAGGAGATTTGATTTCAAAGCTGTATAATAGGGGTTTTAGTTTGATGAATGTTCGTAGGGTTTTGTATTTGATATGTTTTTTGAGGGGCTAATAACCTGATATGTTTTGATAGTGGATAAATTTTGATAGTTTAAGCAAATGGACCTGAATTTTTGTTTACATTACGGTGAGGGTTAGAGGGGCCCTAAAGGTGGGTTCCTTTTCCTCGCCTATGGCAGTGGGTATGTTTTATGATGGGGTCTAGGGGATCTGGAGTATGGTGTATGGTAGTGGGGTCTATGGGATCTGGAGTATGGGGTCTGTTTTAAGTGGCATGGTCCGTGAAAGTGTGGAGTTGTGTTGTAGTTGCTCGAGTTTGTAAGCGAGGTATGTTTTAGTCTAATCTTCATCGATGTAGTCTACCGCCGCCTGTGTCATTCCATTGTAATATTATTTATTTATGAGAGTACACGTACTGAAGCATCCACTTCCACCACCCTCCACCAACACCATCCACCAACACCTTCCACCAACGCCTTCCTCCAACACCTTCCACCAACACCTCCCACCAACACCTCCCACCAACACCTTCCGTTCAATCCTTGTTTCCTTTTAGTCCACCCATCAGACTTAAAGTTCAAGGTTACTGGTACTTCACTCAACCATACCGGTGTTCCTACATACCTTTTAAAGACCTGATTTTTCTGGCACCTTCAGCCGTTGGTGCCCCGCCCCCCCCCCTCCCCCCCCCCCTCCCCCCAGCCACCTTGCCGACTAGTGGCCAGCAGACAACCTCAGGGAAAAAAACCACCAACCACAAAGCGGTGAGAAAGGCTAAAAATAGCAGAATATTCAGGGGAGAGTAGACCATCAATTTTAGACATTCGAAACGCGAGTTACTTCCCTGTGATGTTTGCATGTTTGGCATACAGCGATAATTAGCACACAGATCGCGCAATCTGTTGGGCTGTTGAGGCAAGTAAACAGTCACATCCGTTTCCATATTGGATGAAACAACGGCTCAACTGTTGGGGACTGTTGGGGCGGCTGTGGTCTTGTTAGATGTGCAGTAAGGTGGGGGCGGGGTGGCTGTTACTAAAATTAATGGGACCATCAAATGAGATTAATGGGAGCCCTTATGAGATTAATGGGACCACCAAATAAGATTAATGGATCCACATGATGAGATTAATGGGACCACTTGATGAGATTAATGGGACCATCTAATGAGATTAATGGGACCACATGATGAGATAATAGGACCACCTTTTGACATGAGACCACTTGGTTGTAGAACGAGATGGTTGAGATAAATAAGTCGGGTTACCACGTGACCACCTCACTAGCCCACCTCTGTACGTCTCTATAATTGTATCTGACTCTCCCATCCGCTACATGTTGAAGTAGGTTACAGGTGTCTTACAACCGGTGCCAACGTGATCACCTGTGTGTCTGGAATTACCTGCTCTAGGTGTAGGGGAGGGGTGGTTGCTCAGTGCCGTGAGGTCAGTCACTGAACGGTTCTATACGTCGTCTGCCCCACTGCCTGGAAGTCTGTGGAGATCTTGGAGACAGACCAGCAGACTTCTGGCGGGAATACTTGGCTCACACGCCATCGACATGGGGCTAGCTGGGGTTGAACTCACGCTTCAGCTGGTGACGGTCTAGTTGGTTACAACAAGCACTGGCGCTAACACGGTTCTCTGATGTCTTTGAGAACATAAGTTTTAAGATTTGTCTTGTTTTAAGGCCTTACAACTGTATAAATACGTGAACTGTCCTAAACTGTCCTAAACTGTCCTGAGCTGTCCTCAACTGTCCTGACCTGTCCTGCGCTGTCCTCGACGATTTGAATTCGACAAGTTTTATGTCCTTTCTTTGCATTAAAATGTTGTCGTACTTGTAACATACAGAAAAAAAATTTAATCAGCAATTATGGAATTTTGTATCACCACCCACCACTATACCGACACCCATATTCACACGTGCACCCACACACGCACACCCACACCCACCCATTAACGCCCCTCTGCCACACATACCCACACATGCACGTGCGCACAATTACTAGACACCAACGCTGTACAGCCACCAGCAAGATTAGACACCCCGAGACTACAACAGGTCCGCAGATAATGGACATGCGCACTAGATCTCCGCACATAATTGACATGCGCACTTGATCGTTTGTACAGAACCCTCATCTAATTTTAGCCAGTACAATTGATATTGGTTGGCTATTTATATCAACTGACGTATACCTCACCGTACGTTACAAAGTTGACTTTGTAGGTTACTAAGGTAGGGGAACAGGGCATTTCCCCCCTGTCAATTACCCCCCGGACATTTCCCCCCGACATTACCCCCCAGAGTAATTACCCCCCCCCTGTCAATTACCCCCTGTCAATTACCCCCCGCCCAGTAGGATATTACCCCCCCCCCGAACAGGGTTAGGGTTAGGGTTAGGGCTAGGATTAGGGCTAGGGCTAGGGCTAGGGCTAGGGCTAGGGTTAGGGTTAGGGTTAAGGTTAGGGTTAGGTTTTAGGGCTAGGGTTAGGGTTAGGGCTAGGTTTAGGTTTAGGGTTAGGGTTAGGGTTAGGGTTAGGGTTAAGGCTAGGGCTAGGGCTAGGGCTAGGGCTAGGGTTAGGGTAAGGGTTAGGGTTAGGGCTAGGGTTAGGGTTAGGTTTTTGGGGCTAGGGCTAGGGTTAGGGTTAAGATTAGGGTTCGGGCTAGGTTTAGGTTTAGGTTTAGGGTTAGGGTTAGGGTTAGGGCTAGGGCTAGGGTTAGGGTTAGGGTTAGGGTTAGGGTTAGGGTTAGGGTTAGGGTTAGGGTTAGGGTTAGGGTTAGGGTTAGGGTTAGGGTTAGGTTTTTGGGGCTAGGGTTAGGGTTAGGGTTAAGATTAGGGTTAGGGCTAGGGTTAGGGTTAGGGTTAGCGTTAAGATTAGGGTTAGGGCTAGGGTTGTGTCTAGCTTTGGTTTTGGTTTTGGTTTTGTGTGAAGTTTTAGGCTAAGGTGGATGCTTAGGTTTTGGTGTATTTCTTAAGGTTTGGATTAAAATAGTATATAGGTATAGAATTCTAGTTAGAGTTAGGATTCTAACTTGAGAGGGGGGGGGGAATTCCCCGGGGGGGGGGGGGGGGTAATTGTCAGGGGGTAATTGCTCCGGGGGGTAATTACGGGGGGGGGGAATGTCCCGGGGGAATTTTCCAGGGGGGTAATGTCCTGTAGCCCATAGGTAGAGAGTTGTTCTTTATCTCTTATAATCTTCAAGTTCCTGACACGTTCTCTAGTAATTTTTTACTTTCTCGTATATGCCAAGTAGGCCTATAGAGAAAGTCTTGTAATCGTGCAAAAAAAAATCGAGAACAAATCTCGACGGTTTACACCTCCCTGAGTCTGAAAAACATAGTTTTGTAATCTTGTTCAAATGTCTGTGTGTGTTTGTGTGGGTGTGTGTCTGTGTGTCTGTGAATACGATAATTTGAGTACCTTTACAGCTAGGTTGATGAAATTTCATATATTATTCTATCAACTATGTAGATCTGTATTTACTTTTCAGCGATTTCCGATAAACGGAAGTTGAACTTTTTCTACGTTCAATTTTTCAAAGGCTTATAACTTGAGCACTATTTCAGATAGATAAATGAAATTTAACATGTAAGTAAAAATTTTAATTCTCTGCCTACTGTCAAATTTTGAGTTATTTCCGTTGACCGGAAGTAGTAACTTACACTATTTCCGATTTCTAAAAAACGCATGTGAATTTATAAAGTACTAATAACATTCCGCTCTATTATACACATTTTATTTGTCGTTCGCTTGGTGCGCATTTTTTTTCTCTACAAGATTCTATTCTATTTTTAAAAGTTTAAGCAATTATGATGGATTAAAAATATTCTCTATATCCCATTTGCCATCCCCCGTAGTGTTATATAAGAATATTCGAGAAAGTTTAGGGGAGATCACTCCCGGTTTATTTTTAACACACATTGAATGAAATCATTAATACCTGTAAGTAATTAGCAAACAGTTTTATAATTAGTTAATGAAAA